TCCAGTTTGGGCCAAACTTCACAGATCCCACTGAGGTTGGTATAACTGTGCAGCTCTGCACCTATATAAGAATGATAAATAAAGGCTGTTTTAATCTGAGGGGAAAACATCACTTTGGTAGTTTAAAACTCTAAACAATTAGAACAGTAAAAGTATTTATCTGTTTCTGTGCTCACTTGCAGTTTCTTGCTTCAATCACCCAAGCTAGTATAAGGTATGGATCTCAAAGAAAGCTGTAGAAGTTTCCTTGGAAATAGCTGCAATCTGAGAGCATTCACTGGAAAAAGCCTTATCTGTACACAAATAGGAAATGAAAAATGGAAAGAAATATGGAAAAAATAAGAGAGTTTAAGATGATCAGATTCAGTGAATTTCTGATTTATGCTAATGCTGGCATTCTATTCCGGGTTAAATATATAATTCACTGGGAAAAGAGAAAGTACAGTAAGCATCACATTGCTTAGATATCTGCCGCAAGTCCAGTGTCATTCTAACTGATAGTAATAACAATTATCAGCCTATAAATCCAAGTAAAGTTTGAGAACTAGGTAGAAATAATCATGACGTCCAATGAAGAACAGATACAGTAGTACACAATCAGGAAAAAATCAAACAAACAAAAACCTCCCACTCTCGCCATGTAGCTACTAAGAAGGTGGCCTGAAAGCCGGGCTGCCTGAGCTAAGGACCAACTCACATTTACTGACCACGAGACACTCAGCAAGTGGCCTAATCCCTTCAAGACACAGCTTTTTTATCTGTAAAACGAGAAAAGCCGCACTATCTACTTTGTCAGAGTCGATGTGAGAAGTAAATGAGCTAAAGTGTAGAAAGCACTTTATACCATGCCTGGTGTAGAGTTAAACACACATTGTAGGTCGTCTTATTTCATCTCAGGCAAAACAAACTTCATGCAACCTCCAATAACTCTGCTGACTGTGGGTTCCCATGAGCCTGGGACAGCCTGGTTTACTGGACTGGTCTGTCTTAGCAAGAGCACCCTTTCTTACTCCAAAAAGCATCCTCGTTTGGATGCTAAATTTTACACGCCCCCGCCCCCCTACAAATAATAACCATGAGTTATTCATTCCTGCCTCCAAGCCTTCTTTCTGCTGGTCTCCCCAATTAAATGATCTCAACTCCTCTCCTCCTTCTGAAACATTTCCACTGCCAGTCTTTCAGAACTGCTGTTTTTCCTAGGCAGAATGAGCATCATTAGCTCCATTTTATACATGTGAAAACTGAGGTAGGAAGAGAAAGGGTAAATTCAGAAATTACAGACAGAAGAATTCAGAGATATCTAGAGTTAACACAAATAGCACAGAAGAAACATAAATGGCCAAGCTAGGCCTAGAACTCTGGTCTTCTGATTGCAAAGCTTAGATTCCTTCTTAAAGTCACTATGAAGGAGAGAGAGAATAATAATGTGTGTATCTAACCACATATACATTGTTATAGATTTGGACTATACAGTTTATACCTGACCTAGGTTAGAGATGGGCAGATGTTTACAATAGGTGGTGGCGTCAAATAAATAAAGGGAAAGGGAGAAAAGAATATTGTTTCAGTAGGAATACTTTAGTATATATTGTGATTTTTTAAAAACTGTGGGAAATATGAGCAGATAATAATATGTTGTGTTACAGCTTTCAAAAACACTATTTTAAAAATCTTTTAAACAACCTTGCAAGGTAAGTGAGTATCGTCCCATTCCTTAAGAAGAAATGGAGGCTGACAGGAATGAAATGAATTGCCCAAGGACCTCTGAGACAGTAACTGAGCTGGGGCCATAATTCAGGACTTCTGGGTCCTCCTCTCAGATACTTTCTGCCACACCTATCTGCCTCTGAGCTGTGCTAGCAAAAGATGATCATCTGATCAGATGAACATGGCCTTTAAGAGGTGGGACCATTCAACTTATCATTGAAGACAGGACACTTGACAGTGTAAGGGGGCGCTCGTAATAATTATATGGCGACATTAGGTGTCAATGGACAGTTCCACCCAAAGTGGGAGGTGTGGTTGCCCTGCACCCTAGGTTACAGTGCACTCTCTGGTAAGTTTTGCACATTAAACTTCTAAGAAATGAGAACTTTCGTTTTTCTTAGAAAACAGAATAATTCATAAAATACTTAAAGCACAAGGCAGGCCGGGCGTGGTGGCTCACGCCTGTAATCCCAGCGCTTTGGGAGGCTGAGGCGGGCAGGTCACAAAGTCAGGAGATCGAGACCACGGTGAAACCCTGTCTCTATTAAAAATACAAAAAAAATTAGTGGGGCGTGGTGGCGGGCGCCTGTAGTCCCAGCTACTCGGGAGGCTGAGGCAGGAGAATGGCGTGAGCCCGGGAGGCAGAGCTTGCAGTGAGCCAAGATTGCACCACTGCACTCCAGTCTGGATGACAGAGCGAGACTCCGTTTCAAAATAAATAAATAAATAAATAAATAAATAAATAAATAAGCACATGGCAATATGGACCTTATTGGGTGTAAAGAAGTCTTTTTTCCATCTTTCTTTCTTCTATTCTTGGGAAATTATTTACATTATTTTTGGAGAAAAGAGGCTTAATCCTTCTAGAGATGATTCCTCCCCAAGTCCTTTTTTTTTTTTTTTTTTTTTTTTTTGAGACGGAGTCTTGCTCTGTCGCCCAGGCTGGGGTGCAGTGGCCGGATCTCAGCTCACTGCAAGCTCCACCTCCCGGGTTTACGCCATTCTCCTGCCTCAGCCTCCTGAGCAGCTGGGACTACAGGCGCCCGCCACCTCGCCCGGCTAGTTTTTTGTATTTTTTAGTAGAGATGGGGTTTCACCGTGTTAGCCAGGATGGTCTCGATCTCCTGACCTCGTGATACACCCGTCTCGGCCTCCCAAAGTGCTGGGATTACAGGCTTGAGCCACCGCGCCCGGCCCCTCCCCAAGTCTTAAAAGTGGTCTTGCAATTTAAAGAATAAGAAAACAGACCTAAGTTGCCGTCTTTATCTGCATCCAAAAATTATCTTAATGATCCTTATGAAAAGCTCCTTACTTCACTATTACAAAACAACAGGGACTGAAAGCATGCTGTGAGATCCTGTTGGGGCTCTGCCATTTCCTAGCTGTGTAATTTTAGCCAGGTGAGTTTCCTCATCCATAGCACGACTCAAGGTTCAAGCCATACACTAGACACTTCCACTCTTCTTCAGATTATGATAAAATCAAAGCTTTTACAGGTTCAGTGCCTTTCTCAAAAATCACAGAATTGTAAGAACTATAGCCAGGAATGAAATTTTACCCTCTGAATTCCAAACCCTTTCCTTTATGATGCTCTGCTTTAAAATTATTGGGAAAGTGTCATTGAAGACACTGGTAATGTTATATTAAAGATCAGTTCACCCAAGAGGTCAAAAAAAAAAAAAAAAAAAAAGAAAAACAAGAAATTACAGAAGACCATTCTTACATAAGTGGTAGATATGACTGAATAACCTGTCACGGATACTGTTTACTGTTTAACAGAGTATATTTATAATGCTAAATATTGGAGTCAAGATCATATATTTTCTAAATAGGTTTTAGGAACAAAGACACAAAGCTTATAAATACTGAAGGAATACAGCATGTTACTGCCTGAATACAAAGACTTAATTGACAATTTCTTCCTACATATCTGTCTTTAGAATTTGGTGACCTAAAAAGTACTCTTAACATACCTAACAGCCCTAAAATATTCATGTGAAAGTGATAGTTTTAATGATGACATCAACTGTGCCTCACGATATTGCTCATTTGAACAGAGAAGGACAAATTCTCCTCAAAAGATGCTAATAATGTTTTTAAAATAAAAACACAAAACAAAGTCCTTATATCTTAGTCACAAGATACCAATAAAACTGAATTTATGCCTAGTTTAATTGAACAATGGAAAAGTCAGCAGTTAAAGGGCAGATAAACTTCCCTTTGTCCCTCTTTTCCTGAGAAACTTTCAAATGTTGAAAATCAATTCCTTTTGTCCCCTTGTTATTCATCTGCTACACATTAAATAGAAACTCTGGGCATTGAGTGATTCCTGCAGAGTCTTTCATCTACACAAGAGCCTGGTACAAATTAAATACTTACTCTCCCTCACAAATTATAGATATGTATTGTAGTACACCATCGATTTATCAGTCCATGCCATTGCGAGTTCAGCTTGGTGAGAGCAGCCCATTGTAGTCCTTTATCTAAAGTTACTCTGGGGTTAAGGATTGTGATGCTATGTTAATTAATGTGGAGCATTACTATTCTGCTCTGATTTTGCAGGCTATATTTTAAAAATCATTTTGTTGGATATCGTGTTTTAGTTACTTTGCAGATCTTTGAGCCATTTAGCCTAGCTCTGGGTGTGTGTGTGTGTGTGTGTGTGTGTGTGTGTGTGAGAATTATTATTATACTGGAACAATAATATATGTAATATTACCTCTAGTAGCAATGTTACGCTATGAAATGACCATCATATGGGTTATCACAAATAATATGGAAGTACAGACTCTCTCCAAGATCTGTTAGAAATATTCAGTTGATGCAAACATTGTTTTAGCATTGGACTTTAAGACCAATAGCTAAGGCAGTGATTTCAATCCCAAGCCTGCCAGATGTCTTTGGAGACCATGGCTTACACAGTATCTATTAAATCCCAATTAGAAAGCAAGCATACACATATGCACACGCACACATACACAAAACACACACACACACAGAAACACACAAAGCCAAGCTATGAGTCTCTAAATAATGCTGGGAAGTTATAAGAATTTCACTTTAATTGGTAACCTACTAAACATATTCAAAACCTTTTTTGGCAAAGATTAGGTGTTCAATAAAAAGACAAATGTCATCAGCTCTTGGCAAATTTCACAAGTACCTTGACTTTCCCCACACTGTTTTAAATTTTTTCCCAAATATTTGTCTAAAGTGATCACCTTGAATAAAAAATGAGCACTCTAATGAATGAAAACTATCTTGTTTATTTGGAGCCTCCCAAGACGCCCCACCTCGCTTGAATCCTCCTGCTGATTGATAACTGCCAGCGCGTCCTCTGCTGCCTGACGCTTGGCCTCGGCAACCGTGCGCTCCATCTTGGCCCGCTCTGTCGTGATCATGTCGTGGGCTTTCCGCTCCGCCTCAGACACGGCCTTCTGCAGCTCCGTCATCGCCTGGCGCTTCACCTCGTTGACGGCCTCCTCTGTGTGCCAGTCAGGCCAAACCAGACAAGAAAACACTCTCGGTTAGCCCAAGTCATTGGATATGGATTACTTTTCTTTTAATTTTTTTTTTTTCTTTTCGAGTCAGGTCTCACTATATTGCCCAGGCTGGTCTCGAACCCCTAGGCTCAAATGATCCTCTGCATCAATCTCCCCTAGCAGCTGGAATTAAAGGCACCTACCAGCCACCATGCCCACCATCTGATTACTTTTTTATAGAATTCTATAGAACAAGCATAACTCTCATCCAAATTATTGGGCAGTTCCAGCAGTCTAAAAACTAGCAGATCTTTTGCCATACATTTAGGAAAACAAAGAGTGAAAATGTTTCTTTAACTTGAATTTATGGAAATATTTTTTGAAATTCCTATATCATTATTATTATGTTTTCATCAAATTGGTACCTCCAGAAATGATTCTGAGACCAGATAAGAAGTTAAAGGACAAGGACATTCGCAAGAAACCTGTCTGAATAATTCAGACACGTAAAGTTAGTTTTCCACAATGCTAAAAGTTAATATGAATATAGGAGGGTCCACAGCTCAAGCATTCAGAAAAAAAGAGAGGGAGAGAATGGATTTTACACATAAACAAGTAAGTGCAAACTATTAGTTGCTGGTATAATCTACAACACAATAGTGAAAAGGTAACTCAGATAGCAATTAAGTTACTATAGACCTTTTAATGGAAAATCAATGCTATAATGGATGATCCAGTTTTACTTTTGAAAAGTCATTTCCTGAGTAATATAAGTATGTGCCTTTATAGATTAAATGATAGAGGTTTTAAAAAATAATCTCATTTTTACATTTTAAGCTGCTGTCCATTTACTTTACCAAATATATACAGTGGTTTTGCATAACCAACTGTTGCACTAGACAAATATAACTGAATCATACCATGGGCCAAAACAATCAGGCCTGACTATGAGTCTGCAAGGTGTCAAATAAGCTCTTTATTTTTGGCTGAGGAAAGGGTGCAAAGATTCAACTAATGTACAACATAAGATTGACAACTAAAACAAGTAATTTCCATTAAAAAAATTAACTGTTCTAATTAACAGGGGAAAATATCCTCCCCCTGAATTAGTTTATCTAATTTTCATCTTTATTCAAAGCAAAATGACAATGATTAATTGAAAATTTAATAAGCAGTAATTATTAACTTGGCAAACCTAGTACCAATTAACACTCTATTAAAACTAATTATGACATGTTTCATTCAAGTGTTTGCACTTAATTGTTTCACCCACTTAAAAAGCACCTTAATTAAATGTTCTGTTTAATTAAAAACATAGATTCCTAATAAAAATGTTTTACTGTAGATTAAAAATGTAAGAGATGCAAGTGTTCCTATGGTTTCTTCAATTCCTCTGGTTTATTTCACACATCTATCGTCCATGACTTGAGAATCATCAGAAGCTCTCCATTACTAATTAACTGTCATGACTTTTGTAGCCTCTGTCATTTTAGCAGCATTATATCTGAAGTACATTTCTTTGCAATTACTGTCTGTTAGGTTTTATAAACTAAAATATAAGTAAAAGATCCATGCTGGAAATATTAACTAAATTGTATTAAGCCTTTGTTAGCTGCTTTAAGATATGCATTTAAAATCTGTGTAGAATCAGAGTATTGCAAACAGCTTACAGCACCTTCTTCACTAGGAGGTGAAAAGATGGCTTTATTACCCTATCATAAATGACTCGGGGCACAAGGGAAGTACTGCCCTTCTAACTATACAGCCAGGGTCTAATTTAGTTTGAATATTCAAGGTGAATTAAAATTCTATCTAAGTGGTAATACAGGACAATAATTTTTGCTTACGATCAAAGCTGTAGCTTGACTAATTGTATATGCAAATCAGGCAATTTATATTTAAATTATGCATTCCTATTCTAATCCCACAGGCATATACAGATCAGCAAAGAGAATTGGTAGGACATTTGCAAGGTGCTTGAATATTTATTACCAACTGCAAACATTCTCTGATCGTGTAAAAATATACTGAAGAAAACATTCAGTTACAAATTTAAAACCATCTTTATGTTAGATTTTTTTTCCAGTTTCATAAAGACCCCTGGTAACTTTTGAGTGCATTTGTTACTTTTGCTTTTAAAAATACTACTTTTAGAAGAGAATATGGTCTTGAACAATTGTTTGGATTTCTAATCTTTAAAAATGTGTGTTGTTATGTTATTATACTGTATTATTCGGGGCAATGTGAAAGATTTGCATAGGGTCTGTAGATTAAATAAGTCTTGTATCAATGTGAATGTTTTGATTTTGGTAACTGTACTGAAGTTAAGTAGAATATTCTTGTTCTTGGTAAACTGACATTCAAATCATTTAAGGTAAAGAGAAATTATGTCTGCAACTTACTCTCAAAATGATTAGAAATATATATGTATATATATTTAAGAGAAAGAAGAGGATGAAAGAGAGGAAAAGATAAAATACTAAAGCAAGTATGATAAGGGAAACTAGGTGAAAGTTATAGAGGAATATTTTGTACTTTTTTTGTAACTTTCCTGCATGTTTGAAATCATTTCAAAATATAATGATGCAAAAAGTTATAGATGTACTTTCAAGCACAGGGTATACTTCTTGTAATTATAATTTTCTGTGAAAGTAGATGCATTTGTTATGCTACATCAAGTTTTGGGTGTTCTGCCCCTTTTGTATTTTTCAAACACTTTATTCACCTATCTTTTGCAACAAAGATAACATATAATAATTTCATTGCAAAGACACACTTTATAGGTTTTCTTCAAAAAAAATTTTTGCCCATAGCCAATTTTAGAAACCTAGGATAAAAGCTTTCAAATTGTAACAAGCTGAGTGCAGATGTCACATTCTGCCCTTGGTGTTTTCATCGTGTTGGATGCCTTGACACTGAACACTAGAAATGCCATTTAAGAAGCCTATAAAGATAAATATTATAAGTAGTTACTGGAGATTTCTAGATGAAACTGTCATCCATACTTGGAGGATTTAATATACTCCTTAAAATTTAGCATCTATCCATAGAAAACTATTCCTAAACTGTTTTTAAGCAGCAGTTTAGGGATCCCACTGTGAGAAGAATACAAATTTAATGTCATATTTTAGATTGAAAACCTTCTGTAGATGATAGGCACTGTAACAAATAATCTAAACACTTCCTAGATAAGGTTTAACCCTTCTTGGAGAGGGCAAGCACACAACAAAAACAAGGACTGCTCTTAAGTCCCCAAAACCTAAATTACATGCAGAATTAGGTTAAAAAAACCCCCAAAACAGACAGTAAAGAAAAATAATAGTGGATTCAATAGATAACAATATGCCATGTAGGAAAAAATAAACAACTGACTAAGTGGAAAATACATAGTGCAGTTATGAATCTGCGTCCAATTGCTTCCCACTTATGGTAGGACTTCCTTTGTGTATAGCTATTCAAGTTGACTTTCCAACAAAGGTGCTATATTCAGAAAAATCTGTTCTCACTTAATAGCAGTCAAACAAAGACTTGAGCAGATAATAGCACATAAGGAATTTGGATTACACAAGACCTTACTGGCAATTTTTCTTTATGAACTATGAAGAATTTCACTTAAATATACTTAAAAAGGGAAGTGTGGAGAAAAGACTCACTCCTCTGAACATAAAGTCACCCTTCTTCTGTCCAAAATCACAATTATTTGTACCTCTCATTGGAATAAGTTGCACTGACAGCTTAGAAATGGAAGAGAAAATGGTCAGAAGGAAGATGTTGTCCGTCTTTTCAGGTAGGTGGTACTCGGCATATTTTTAACAGCTTGAGAGTACCACATAACTATTATTGTAAATCTGGTAAAACTACACAGTTCAGCAACATATGTATTTTAACCTTTAAGCTAAATGGACCTATCTAATTTGCATATTGGACGTGCAAGACAGCTTTCTGATTCTTAATCTGGGCTACTAAACCTACAATGCTATCAGATTTTAAAGCTCATTATCACTCTTACAAAAACAGGTATTTCTTGGAAAATGTATAAAAATACTTGGATAAGATACATGTGACTAGCCGGGCGTGGTGGCTCATGCCTGTAATGCCAGCACTTTGGGAGGTTGAGGCAGGTGGATCACAAAGTCAGGAGATCGAGACCATCCTGGCTAACACGGTGAAACTCCATCTCTACCAAAAAAAAACACAAAAAACTAGCCGGGCGTGGTGGCGGGCGCCTGTGGTCCCAGCTACTCGGGAGGCTGAGGCAGGAGAAGGGTGTGAACCCGGGAGGCGGAGCTTGCAGTGAGCCGAGATCATGCCACTGCACTCCAGCCTGGGTGACAGAGCGAGACTCTGTCTCAAAAAAAAAAAAAAAAAAAAAAAGATACATGTGACTAGAGAGTCAGCAAGTACACAGAACTACAAACACAGCTGAGTGAAATCCCAAAGAAACAAAAAATCTTTCCCCTGACTCTTCAGTTTGTACTGTTTGTAGAAGTAGCATTTCCCAGTTTCCCAACTCAAAAAGACAAACTATTTTAAGAGTTGGAGTTACAGTAGCTGAAAGCCTTGGTATGTTTTTCATGGCCTCTTCAACTCTTGAAACAGGTTTATGTTTCATCTCCTGAGCTGGTTTTCAAAAACGTTTTTGCTTGCTAGGTGGTTCCACCAAAATTCTCACAGATCTGGACTTCTTTAAGCCCAATAACAAGTCAGTGGGTCATGAGGAGATTTAAATCTACTATTACAAAATACAGAGCAGCATCTTGTAATGGAAAGCAGACAGTGTATATGAAAAGCAAAAATAAATGTTTAGTAACTTTGTTATTTCACTTAAAAAGTAATTTAGCTCTGATTGTTGAATACTAATTAGTACAGAACAATTTTAAAAGTCGATTGTAACCAAAAAATTATCTGAGTACTTTAACAAGTCAACTAGATGTGATGTGGGTGTTTTTTTTTTCTTTTTTTTTTTTTTAAGAATGCAGGAGAAAAGGCTGAAGTATGCAATTTAATTTCTAAGACATTAGATTTTTTTCATCATAGAAAAAAAATGCATGCGAGCTAAGACCTCCTATGCCAAGTTTCAGCCTGAAATCATTATGGCCCTGAAAAAAAAAGGAGTTTTATAATGGAAATATTGCCAGCTTCTCAATTATAGTGAAACTGGAAGATGTTACTAAAATAAAAATGATTTCATCTTGTAATCAGGCCTGGTTTAAGAATATTAATCAGGTGTTTTGTTTTGGTTTGCTTTGTGGTTTTTGTTTTGTTTTGTTTTTGCTGTTGTTGTTGTTAGCAGTAAAGTCCTTTCTTGTCATTCCTCACATCACTGCATTAACAACTGCACACAGCTGCCAGAACACGAAACTCATGTTTTTAAACAATTCTTACCAGCTTTCTTCCAGATCTCCTCTGGCACGTATCCAGACGCAGGCCTGTGAAGGAATTCCCGATGCGCGTCTATGAAAAGGATGGGAAGGGGGTGGAGAGAGGAGAGTACTGTAAGCACACTTGTGTCATTGTACAGAGTGAAAGTAAGCAATGCCCATTCTCCTGGCTTCTCTACAAAAACACAATTTTAAAAGGCTAAACATTTTACTTCTTGAAAATACACAAAAATAGCAAGGCCTGTCATCAGAGCCCAAGGAAAACAGGTCACTGGTCTAAATGCCCTGCATGCTCAAAGCCAAAGCAACTTGATTTCATTATACAATATGATGTTTGGGAACACTGTTCTCACTACTTTCTGACTATGGAGACTTCTATAGATATATTTTGTTAAAGAAAATAAATTGTATTTGGTAGTTTTCCTTTCAAGAGTCAATCAAATTGGTGGTTAAAAAATCAAATGTTCAGGTAATGTAATTTCCACAGAGCTCTGATTCTGCCGCCTTTCTATGAATAGCAAGCTCCACTCTATGGCTAACCAGTTCTCACACTTAATTAATTCTTAAAAATCTCAGTGAGCATTAAAATTTTTCACACAAATTAGATCATATGGATTTGACATGGGTGGAAGCCAGAAAGACTCATTAGAATGGATTCACAGACATTCTGCTGAGCAAAGAGAATTAGCTCATGCTTTCCAGAAAAGGAAATGAAGTTCCACTTTAAATTAAATGCAGTGCTTACTATGCTTCTCAGATTTTAAAAGTTTAAGAAAACAACTAATAACAACTTTGATACAGGAATGCTAACTCCTAAAATAATATGTTCATGGAAATAACACAAAACATTTTATAGTACTTGTATATGCTCGAAAGTAAACAAAGTGCATACAGTCTTCCGTAGCTAAAATATGCATTTCACGTCTTCCATATCGGATTTTCAATAAAAGCCTCCTTATATAGAAGAGTTCAGTAAGAAAAAAATCATTTTAACTTTTATAAAACACAATTATTAAACCCATGATAAATTCTGAGGAAAACTGAAAGTTTCTCTATGTGTAGAGTAAATGTTGAGTAGCATATACGTTTAAACAATACTTTATCTAATGGTTATGTTGAAGATCAAGACATTCAGTCCAGTCTCCTATATTTTATGGTGCTACACAATGTCAAAAATAAAGAGAAGCATGATCAGTTTAGCTAAGTATATGTTATTACATTTGAATGCTTTAAATACATTTGAATGCTTTGAATTCTTACAGGGCACATAGATTATCAACTGGCAAGAACATTAGATTTTCTCAACTATTCTGAATTAGCAAAAATTTACTATAGCTTGGTAAGGAATATATGGAAACTATATCATCTTTGCAATTTTTTAATCTAAAATTATTCCAAATATTTAAAAGTTTATTTTCAAAAGCTTACACTCTGATGTCATGACTACTTAATAGGATGGACTGGAAATATCTATGCATTCTCCTGTGTGTATTCATTTCTATAAAGTAAATGACAAAAATAAAAACGCTTTTACTGAAGTAACTTTCATTCTTAAGGCGAGATAAAGCTGGTACATAAACAACCTAAAAGGAAATGTGATACAACTAATTAGATTTATCAAGATTATCTTCCTTACCACTATAACTATTTGCAGAAGAAATAAAGTGCAATCAAGTTCATATTTAGCCATGTGACACAGTACAACACAGAGATTTACTTATGACAACATTTAAAGACAACGTTTAAGGAGAAAAGACTTTAAGCATAATTTATTGGATAAGAATGAGAACAGATCTGTAAAGTCTGAGGAAAGAAAAAACATGACTCCAAAGTGGCAACTTTTTTTTCATTTATTGTGTTAAGAAGAGACCTGTAGTTTATAAAAAATTATTATTTTTTCATTATTATTATTATTATTATTATTTGAGACAGAGTCGTGCTCTGCTGCCCAGGCTGGAGTGTAGTGGCATGATCTCAGCTCACTGCAACCTCTGCCTCCCAGGTCAAGCGATTCTCGTGCCTCAGCCTCCCGAGTAGCTGGGATTACAGGCACATGCCACCAAGCCCAGCTAATTTTTGTATTTTTAGTAGAGATGGGGTTTCACCGTGTTGGCCAGGCTGGTCTCAAACTTCTGACGTCAGGTCACCCAGCCTCCCAAAGTGCTGGGATTACAGGTGTGAGCCACTATGCCCAGCCTATAAACATTATTTTTTGATTAAGTAGTCAAGTATTATGATAAAGAACAGGAAAGGAGATGTTTAGGTATCCAAAGTCCATGCATGAAAGATGCTAATTACCAGCCTCAGGCAACATAGGCTGAAGAAAGTTAGTTCTAGCGCCCAGTGAAGCAGCTATTGACCATGGAACACTGAGTATGTTAGTTTGTCCATGTCCTCAGATGCCTCATCTATAATAAAGTGAGGACAATACTATCATTATTTGAGAGCACTGCTGTGAGGATTGAAGGAAATACCTCCTATTACATACACATCCTAAACTCTCATCATCTGGTATTTGCTATTATCCTCATTATTATCATCATTATTATTACTACATGCTCTTGTAAGAATGGCTATATAATTATTTCCTTATAAATAACTAAGGTGAAGAGAATATTTTAAAGTTTATCTTTTCTCTCAATGTTAAAAAACCAAATACCACAAATTTTGAAGAGAACAAAGCCATTAAAGAAGTTTGGATTAAGCAATATACACCAAGTAATTTTTTAAACTCCCAGAATCTATGTCGCTTGGAAACAGAAAATATTTCTATAGTTCACAATTCACTGCCTTTGTCCTTGGAAGCAAAATCTTCAAATTTCTTAGATGACACTTTCAAAAATTTTACTTGAGCCTCACCCTTGAATGTTTATAACACCCAAATTGACTCAAATATTAACGTGCCAGGCTCAATTGACCTTCCACCTTCTATGGGCTGCACAGCAGGTGTCTTGAGGGTACATATACCACACTGGAAAGTTGTATAATGTTTCACCTTGGCTACATCTTCCTAAATTTCTCACTGACATATTGCCATGTCCACATACGCTCAAACTTTAACTGACTTAGAAACCCAATAGAAATGCTAAAGCCAATTATGCAAAAATTTTCTTAATGATAACCTACCTTCTAAAAGACGGTTTTTCAAAATAGCAGAATCTAAAGGGAAATAATCATATATACGTATTTTACAATATCCTCCCTAGTTCTAAGTTAGTGTACTCGATAAAGGTCAGGTCTACCAACAAAAAGAACAGAGTGATTGGTAGCAGGTGTACTCCTCAGAAATCTATTTGATACCCTGATAAATGCTACTTTATAGCTTCAGAAACCAAATGACTAATACATTTAATATCTCCTCTTCTGATTAAGCAGCAGCAATATCAGAATCTATATAGGGAAAACTGAGTTTGAAAAACAAAACAAGGGACAATTCTCTCCTAGGACTTCACTATTTTAGAATACTGGCTAATCTAGACACATCTACCTAAAACACCCTAAGATTCTAAGGCTTAGATTCTAAAGAAGCTAATTCTTAACCATTAACTCGTCAGCACCTATAAAATACAGATTGCTATAAAAAGGAATCATTGTTCTAAAATGTAGTGGTAAAAGCAAAGACAGAAGAATCTATACAAGATGGTTTAAAATGTGAAATGTGTGTGTGTGTGTGTGTGTGTGTGTGTGTATATATATATATGCAACCACTGAAAGATGAAAACATTATAGAAAAGTCCTTCTAAGTTAAGTCTAGCTTGCTTTGGGTTGCAAATTGCTTGGGGGGGATGAGAGGGGATGAGGATGAAGAGAGCCTCTTGAAAAAATTCATGTCCATGAAGAGAGGAGACCAGGTCATAGTGACAGAAAATGGTGTAAGAAATGTGAAAGAACAGAAAGAGCAATCTATGATGTATGAAAGAGATGGAAGATGCACTACACTTACGACAGGATGGAGACCATTGGATACTAGATACTGCAAGGGCCGCCATCAATATACATGAAGGGATGAGCTGATAGCCTTTGGAGAAGCAATGTGACCTCATATGACCCAGGACAGCAATGCTCAAAGCTTGGCAGCACCTAGGTATGGCCTTCATCCTGTAGTGGGCAGAGTGAGGCTATGATCATGATAATATCTATTACAAAAACCATCAAAAGAAAGAAAGAGTTAAGTAACTTTTATCTTTACAAATGCCACTTGCTTTTAAGGATAATACATTCAGAAATCTTCACCCTAGGTTTCAGAAGCCTAAATCCAACCTAGAAGCTAGCAACTGCTTTAGGATTTCCATTTTTTACAACAAACATACTTAATGCTCCAGGAAGTAACCATCTCCTCTTAATTTTAAAAGATGGACATATTTAACTAATAGTCCCTTATTTTTAAACCCAATATAGTTAAGTACAGTAGGCATTTGCATTATGAAGTCAGCTGAATGACTGAGAGATTAATTTCATGATGTGATTCAAAGAAATCAATACAAGGGTACAGAACTCCAAACATTTACATGGAAATATACACAGAATAACTTGTTTGTGTTTTTCATATTCTGAGAGTATAGAAGTTGAAATATTTCATTGGCTGGGAGAAATCTATTTTTCTATAGACTTGTATTATGAATTAGGGTCCCAAAGGTACAACAGATTTACTATATTTAAGACAGGAGTATTTTCTAATCCTGTGCCTATTAAAGTAGCCAACTGCTTAGAAGTACTTTGTAGATGAAAAAATACTCAATACACAATCTTGAATGCCAAGGAAAAACTTTACTAGTTTCATTTACCACTATTTTTTAAAGTTCATTTTATTTTTAAAATTTTTTAATTTTATTTTTTGAGACAAAGTCTTGCTCTGTTGCCCAGGCTGCAGGGCAGTGGCACAAACATGGCTCACTGTCACCTTGACCTCCTGGGCTCAAGGAAACCTCCCATCTTAGCCTCCTGAGCAACTAGGACCACAGGCATGCACCATCATGTCCAGCTAATTTTTCGATTTTTGGTAGAGATGGGGTCTCACTGTGTTTTCCAGGCTGGACTCAAACTCCTGGACTCAAGGGATCCTCTCACCTCAGC